ATAAAAGACAATCAATCTTTACTAATAATCTCTGTAAGAAGTCTGTTAAAAAACATGAAATCTTTAACATTATATCTCAATCAGATATAATCAGTTCTGATTGTAATTAAACATTTAATAAATGTGTGATCAGAATTCTTTGATTTTGATATTATCTTAATCAATTCTTGAAACAGATGAGTTCTGCAGACAGCAGGCCTCTCAGTGAAATTATTCTCTATAACAGATCATAGAGAATAAGTAAATAGTTGAAACTTCTTGAGTATAATAAAGTAAGATTTAGCCTGTGAGATGATTGCAGATTATATGTAGTTATATAGTCAGATATTTCATTCTGATTAAAAACATTGTATATTCATACTGACATTCTCATCAGAATTAATCTACTTATTATTAAGAATATCATTCATTTCAGATTATCTTGCTGTGAGCAGAATCTCTTCTTTTCATATAGAATAATTTACAAAGTCAGTGAGTATAATAGACTTCTTTATAGATCTTACTTAATCTCTGAATTTATTAAGAATCTTTATCAATGCAGATGTTCTACTCTTCTATTAAAGATAGTTTATCAAATCTGTACTAAGCTCTTCATTTTTATCTCTGTCTGTCTTCATTCACTCAACTTCATGCTGAAGTCTTGCAATTTCTAGTCTCATGTGAGTCTTCTCACTTACAGAGTTATTATTGTTTCAGTCACTTAAGCTCTCTGTATTGTCTGATATCTCACTGATATCTTCAACTGAGTCTTTATATTCATTATTGAACTCATCAGATTATTCTTTCATAATTATGTTATTCAGCTCAAACATCTCAGAGACAGTCACTTTTCAGTTCATTATAGATGTTGATAAGCTCACACTCAATTCTTCTTATACTTCAGATGTTTGTGAATTTCTTCTTCTACATATTGACATGTAATTCTTCATTAAGTCAGGCTTTTCACTCAATCTCAGATTCATCATGAGTTCAATTAATTAATAAATTATCTAGGCACACTTGTAATGACACATGAAGATGTTAATTTAGCACATTATTACAGTTATTCATTGCTTATGAAGAGCTTCATAATCTCTTAAAGAATAACATTATTATGTTGTAATCTAACTACGCGAGTTACACTAAATAAATAGATTGAGGTGGCACGTGACTAGGGTAGGTGTAGTAATTACCAACATTTAGTTATTTCATGAGTATTATTAATAATTATTATCAAATTCTGATTATATAAGTAATCACTGAATAAACTGAATGAGACTGATTTTAATCTTCAGTCTCAGTCTTATTCTGATTTTGAAAGAATGATTATCTTTTATAGTTTATTCTGAGAAATTACTCTTATTTCACTGTTCTTGAATTAAATCTGGTCATTTTTCACATCATTTCTCTCAGAAATGATTCATTTTCAGATTTTTTTAAGACTTAGTTCTGGTGAGACTCACATCAAGAAATGTATGAGACCAGATCAAATGAGATTAAATGTGAAATTCATGGTCCCGCCGGCCAGTCTAATCACGCTTCTCTTCAGATACTGCTTACTGTGAATCAGGTATAACAGTCAAGTAATTCGGTTCATATACAAATAAGAATCAATCATCTCAGTTTGAATGATAGTTATCAGTTTGAATGAGGATTGATCATCTCAGTTTGAATGATTATTATCAAATTTGAATGAGGATTGGGATCAGTGTATCGCGCTTCTCTTCAGATGCTGCTTACTGGGCTCATAACTGTCGGATTGAGTGTCACAGATGAATATGTTGAAGACATATGAATCTTATGTGTATCAAGATCTGCTTGTTATATTATCTGTGTCCTTTCTAATATATCTATTTCATACAAAAGATAGAGCTATTTATAGTAAAATATATGTGTGAGTCAAGAGAGCTAGCATAAGCGAGTATTAGACAAGTGTTGTAGTAAGCTGATGATGATGAGAAATATTGTAGTAATACGATGTTGGTGGCGTTCAGTAGTGTATAACCTCTTTTTCCTGACACAAGGATATTTAATCTCAGCAATCTCCGCTGTTTTTTCCTTTTCCACTTCTTTTCCTTCACAGTGACAGCGCCCACCTGATCGCATTCTACCCACATTATCTTTCATTGCTTACATGCGAAGTCTTCCGTCAGATCCGCCTTGCATCATTACATTTTTACTGCATTCTGATCAAAAGTCCTCTCTTCACACCAACAAGAGTTCACATTTTAAGTAGCGTTACGTTCCACTTCGCCCTTGACTAATTTGTCTCTACTAAACAGATTGGGGAAGTCGCTTTCCAGTTCCAGGTTCACCTGGTGTTCTTGATGATATGCACACAAGCGCGGCAGCAAAGCGAGCGTAAGCGAGCGGTTGAGGCTTGTTAGCAAATGTGGTATCTTTGGAAGATAGCTCGCTGCAGGATGCTAGTAATATATAAGGGAGGTTAAAGGGTTTGATGGCGCTCTCGGATCAGTACTTTGTCTAAGACCAGTGTTGAATTTCAAGTCGATTGCATAACATTCCATGATGTAGGGGATATATATATATAATTGCCTACTCGGGTTCTAATCGTTGGAACAAGAATCTCAAAGACATTCAAGAATGATCCCTTCAAAAATGCAGGAACATGTGACTATCAGACCTTCGCCAACACACGCGACCACTACATCACTCAACATTAGCAACTCTTGATCTCCATCTTGACAACCCTCCACCGACCACAGCTGATTCAGAAGATCTTTATACTGAAAACCTCACTCCTCTCCTTAAACCAAAAACCTCGCTCCTGACAATCAAACAATGTCGGAATCCTCAGTGCCATGGACACCAAGGACCTTGAATCCCCTCTTTCCCATCCTGGATGGGATGGGCACGTGGAGCCCATTCTATCAAGATTGGGCAACAGAAATCATTCTACTCTTCATTGCCGATCATGCAGTGCATCAAATGCAAGAGGAAGACGTCCTCAATGTAATCAGACAGAATGCCACCTGGGTGGACATTTGCCAACTAGCACGGTCGGAAATTGGATATGACATTGAAGGATGTGGTCAAATATTATGCAATTGTTTGGACTGATAGGAGTGGCATTGAAGAGCCATTCCCCGGAAAGCACCTAGTTATTATAGGGTTGGATTATGTGGAAAACAATGGCCTTCCTGTTTTCAAAGATAGAAGTACTCATACCGGTACACTTCCTTCTCAAATAAATCAACCTTCGTGTAAATCGACAGCCCACCATTCATATTCAAAAAGGTTCATCTTGGGGCAACAATGGTCCATGCTAAAGATAGGGCCCTCGGTCTCATCTTCTCTTAACCCCCCATCTGGCAGTAGCGTGAATGTCAGATCTTCGGTAATAACTTGCTTAAGTCTTAGATTGGCACTACCTCCGTGTTGGTGAGAAGAGTTACGCCATGAATTAGTCAAAGTAAGAATTTGTTGATAGTTTTGCTGATCATAAAGAAGCAGTTCTCGTAATGATGGTTGATGCTGTAATCCGGATAGATCCCCGTTCACTCCAAGATATATCAAGCTTGATTTTTCGTTTCTGAAGGTCCCCCAATCATAAGCTGTTGGGCTGATGAGTTCAAGGCGCTGCAAAGTAGCACAGCCGCATATTGAGCGCCAGAGGGTCGGGCTAAGTGGGAATTTGCTATGCAAATGAAGGCTTTTCATATGTGTACAAGACGATAAAAGTTCTGAGAGCCAACTGTCCAGCTCGAAGTCGCATTGGCATACTTCCAGTTGCACTAAATTCGGGGATTTGAGACCATGGAAAAATAGATCAGCGTTCGTGCAGTCAAAGAGGCCTAATATTTCAAGGCATGGCAAGTCTGCCGGTAGGTTGTGAGAAAATGGCTCAAAAATCACAAGGCAAAGACGCAGGTCCCTCAGCGACGGCGCAATAGAGTTGGGCAGGCTAGGTGTGATCCAAGCATTCATCATTAGAAGCTGGTACAGTGAAGCTGAAGGTTCACCCTGAAACAAGAGTGGTACATCCCATCCGCCCCCAGACAACTTCAGTATTTTCAATTCTGGAATATGCTCAAATCCGATCTTAAGAGAGGAGTCGGGATTAGGAGAAAGCTCGGAATTAGAAAAGCCACCAAGCACCAATTGTCTTAACCCAGGAAAATACTGGCTGTGCAAATAGAGAGTATTGTCAACAGCAAGGTTGTGGAGGTTCGGGCCGAAATGACACAGTGATTGAGAGGGAAGCCATAGATGTTCCAATTCCAGGAGAGATGTGGCATGCGACACAAGTTTATCCAGGTGGGGGAAATTGCCATACATGCTACAGAATGTCAGCATGTTGTGAATATATTTCTGCCACGAATGATTCATATCTTAGGTACTTTAGTGCTGAGAGCCTGCCCAAATTCTCAATAATTTTAAGAAGTGTGTCTACATCCACAGAATCAGGCGAATGACATTGAATAGTAAGGCTTTTAATATAGTTTGCTCCATTTCCAGTGAGAACAACAATATATTTTTGAACACTTTCACTTTCACATTTAATGGGGATGTAGATTGTTCGATGGAAAAAGTAGAATTGCAGAGAGAGGTCATTGAATAGCTGGCACGCTTCTCGGGCAGAACTAAGAGTTTTCAGAGTACACTAGCCTAGGTGTCAGTCGAAGGAAAGAATAAATGTGGGAGTAACTTACATACTTGGGCAAAAATCTCAATCAACAGCTCATTAGGAAGCATCATCTTGAAGTTGGCAGTTTCAGCGGGGGTCGTGCAGACGCCCAGATCGCTTTACCACACGTGAGTTGTCCTGCCCCAAGAGAACCTTCCCAGGGCAACATGCCTCATGGTAACGTTAGTTACCCTTGTAATAAGCTTGTCCGTATCTTAATGTGCGGATGCGGGCGCCTCATTGATGGTCCATGGGCTACCAAAAATATCCTGGTTTTGGCTGCATATCTGCAAGCATAAAAGGACAGGAGCAACCCATCTTCTAGTCTTTCCTAAAGCCCCCTCCAATTAAGTCCCTCACTGTATCACCCAAAATGAATGCACAAACACAACAAGATTTTCTGCCAACTCATGGACAGTACGCTCCTCAGTATTCAGACCAGGTTGAGGTTGAAGAGCAGATATCATATAGTGGGAACTCAATGACATCTGACCCAGTGACACCGGCCCCTGAAGGCTTTCCAAATGTCAAGGAGTTTGACCAGCTCATGGAGTGGTAATAACCACTATATCTATTCACCTCTAGGAAAGGTCATTGACAGATTAATAGCTATGTTCGAAAATCGACTAAAAGGCCTTTAATACCCTCAAAAGAGGCAGGACTGATCAAAGAAGTGCTTCTTAACTCTGAAGACACATCCAGAGTGTCAGCAAAATTTCGGTATGAATGTTGGAATTTCATTTTGAATTGAGTATAGTCATTCAAAATCTGAGGCTGCATATGATTTTAAGAGATTGGGTGAAAAAATCATTCACACTCAAACCGAACAATAACCATACACAAAAGGTATGTTTTAAAAGTCTTATGAGATAACTTATACTGATTGAGGCGTCCAGTCAGAACACTTAATCTGCAGCAACGGAAAACCTATTGTAATTCAAGAGAAGTTCTTTAAAGTTCTGACAAGAGCACATCAGCAATGCCAACATAAAGGCCAGACTAAAACTGCAGCTCAAGCTAGAAAGACATATTCTCGGTACGCCCATCGCAGCTACGGGCCAAAATTCCCTTTTAAAAATATCATATAGACTGACAGCAGGACTAACAGAATCCCTGAGAAACTAGTTGCACAATTCATAGGAATATGCCCAACATGTAAATCAGCAGTATCTAGTGCCTTCAGCGCCAGCGCCCATCCCAATGAAGATTGGACAAAGATATCGGACTTGGCTGGACGACGGCGCATACAAAATCGAATTGCTCAACGAAAGTACCGTAAGCATAGTGTTCTAAATAGCATCAACATTGGTTCGGCTAACTGACAAAAATCAGGCAAAAAGCTAGAGCAACAACATATTGAGAGTTTGAAACAAAACATCGCTTCTTCCTCAGCATCTCTAGGACAATCAAACAGGAAGCTCATCCCTGCCTCATTAAAAGTGAAGAAGTCTCAGTCTTCTTCACAGCAGCCTCTCATCATGGAAAAGAACAAGGCTACAGATGATCAGAACACATCAATGATAATGGTTCTGACTGAGTCACAAGAGAAGCAGGATGTCAGCATGTTCTCTGATCAATCAATACTGCAACTGTTTGCCTCTTCCTCACTTACTTTTGCCGATGAATCATACTCTTCAAACTACAGCTACTCACAATATTCTCAAGAATCAACATACTACCTTGTCTGATCCCAATCACCGAACCTTCACCCTCTAACTACTACATTCAATCACTGTCTTCACAACTTGCTCAGGAACTAGTTTATATTTCTCTTTGTTGGGTTGCGTCTCAGCTTTGTCGCTGATCCTTCTTGAGGTTGAATAGAATCTACTTCGGTAGATAGGTGTTGACTAATTCATATCAAGGTGCTTATATGAGCTATGAAAGAAGCTTAGCTCTAGAGTTAGAGCTATAGAGAGCACATGACCTACTTTCTGTATATAATCTTATCACTCAGTGACTTATCTTCATTTCTCTTCTCTTCAAGAATTAGTATAGAAATCAATAAGACCTGTACAGTTCAAATTAGCTTCACTCTGAAATTCTCATTCTGTCACTAACATTCTAATTCTTCTGTAAGACATTTCAGTCAAGAAGTAAAATTTTTTTTTTTCTGCACTATGATAACTCACAACCAGGCTTAAGCAATGAATCATCTTATAGAACAATTTCATAACATGACTCAAGAGAATGAAGCTCTTAAACAGTATATCTCAATGCTGAAATACTTAAACAATAATCTGAATCAGCAACTGATTAATCAGAATCAGTAACTGATAAAACAGATTACAGTATTGAAAACAAGAAATCAACAGACTTCTGCAGATCTCAATACAGATATGAAATCATAAGATATTATCACAGTAATAAAAATCAAACTCAAAGAGTCTGAAGTCTTTAATAATTACTCTGACATTCAATTCTGACTTCTAGACATAGAGAATAATCTATAGAAAAGACTTATTATTAATAAAATATTCAAAGTTATATACATTATAAGCTACTTGAATAAACTTATATATCAACATATTCAGAGACTTTAAATATCATACAATGTTTATATTATATTCTGAGAAGTTCTTAAGATATAACTATAAGATAATTATTAAATCATTAATTCAGAATTACATGCAGAATTGCAGCTTACAAATCTGCAGATGAAATCATATTAAAAAGCTGTTAAGTTTATCATATAATTTAAAACCTTGATTACAGATCTGAAATGAAACAATGTGATTATCTGTGTGATTTTTCAGAGCAAACTAACTCAGGTCATACTAACTCAAATTAATCAAGCCTACTTTAATACATGGCTCTCAACATTCACAGAATGAAAATAAGTAATAATTAGAGTAAAAAGTTATATTATGATGACTTATCAGCTCATTAAACTAGAAATAAAACAGGTATATTTCAACTACAACACAGATTATAACTGAATCAGATTATAATTCTCAGAATATCAGATAAAAGAAGTGAATAAAAACTCAAACAGCTCAGATTCTGAATTTTTTCAGAGATAAAGAAATGAACTATACATCTGATATGAGAAGAGAGAATATTGATAAAATATATATTACTCATGTATTGAACATCTTATAATAAACAGTCAATTATTCTAATTAATATCTTCTCACTTACATACTCTGGTCACTTAATTCTGTATAGTATTCCTGTTATCTAACTGCAACATTTCATTATATATAGAAATAAAATCACTCTCATCTCATCTGAAGGTAAAAAACTCACTGATATATTAATAGAAGTAATGTTATATCTGTCACAGCTTCAATATAATAACTCATTCTCACAGAAAATTAATGACTATAAATTGTCAGAATATGCAGTATATTATATCATATCAGTATCACAGACATTATCTGCACTTAACAATCTTAAATACCTTATAACATGTACTGTAATACCTGCAATGATTAACTCTGAAGCTGTATTTAATATTCTCATATCAAAAGTAGCAGAGATATTAAACATGATAAAGATATTATGTAAAGAAGTATAACTTCAAGATCTGAATAACAACTCTTACAAATTCTATTCATTCATCTATAAATTACAACTATCTGATTCTGATGAGAAACTAGTTACACACTATTTCTAATCACTACAAATGTTCATGTCAATCATATTGAGCAGGCCTCAGCTAAAGAAAATAAACTCAGACATTGATTGAATAACAGACTCAATCACAGACTGAATAAAAGCAGATTAAATAAAAATACAACACATTATAGATTAAGAGAATAATATCAATCTTATCTCACTACTAGTCTGACTATAAGTGAGAACTGAAAGCTCAGTCTTAACACAAGTATCACTGCAACTAGCAGAATACACAGATATATTTCACAAATTAATTACAGATACTCTACAGTCACACTTCAATACAGATCTTTAAATATATATCATAGATAGTAAGACACTATTCAGATGCTCACTTTACTCTATATCAGAGACAGAGCTTCAACTCTTAAAGAAATACATTAATGAAAACTTAGTCAAAGAATTTATACAATTAAGTAAATTATTATATGCATTCTCAGTTCTCTTTATTGATAAGAAAGAAGAAGAAAAATAATTTTATATTAACTATCAGAAACTAAATATAATTACAATTAAGAATCAGTATACAATTTCTCTGATCTCAGAATTAATGAAGTGTCTTAGCTCAGTGAAGTGAATTACAAAGTTTAATCTTCAGTACATGTATCATCTCATCTGTATAGCAGAAGATTACAAACATCTCACTATCTTTAAAACATAATATAATACATACAAGTATCTAATAATTCTCTTCAGCTTAACAAATGTATCAGTATATTTTCAAGAGTTCATCAATACTGTTCTACAGAAATATATAAATGACTTTGTCATTGTATACATTGATAATATAGTCATCTATACAAAGAAGAACAATCAGAATAAACACTGAACATAGATTAAACAAGTTCTGCAAAAACTACAAGATACAAACTTGATATACAATATATTCAAGTGCTGATTTCTTCAAAGAGAAATTGACTTTCTGAAATACTTAGTTAAGAGAGATGAAATACATATGAACTCAGTCTGAGTAAATACAATTCTACAATGACTCAATTCTCAGACAGTGCAGAATCTACAAGCATTTCTCAGATTTTGCAATTTTTACAGATGATTTATATATTATTATAGCTTGATCTGTCTATCACTTACAGATCTTCTCAAAGATAAGATTATATTTCATTGAATGAAGAATCAGGAAAAAAGCTTTCAAGAACTTAAACAGGTATTTATAAAAGCCTCACTACTGATCTTCTATGATAATAATAAGCTCATAATAATTTTTTGCAATGTAAGTGAGTTCATCATTAGTGAAATCTTATATCAGAAACAGAATAACAGATATCTGCATTTAATAGCATTCTTCAGCAGGAAAATGACAATAATAGAGAGAAACTATAAAACATATGATACTGAGATACTAGCAATCATGAACACAATTAAATATTGACATCACTTTGTCAGAGAAAATAGAATACAAATCACAGTTTATAGCAATCATCACAACTTACTATTATTTCTCATAACTAAGATTCTGACTCACAGACAGGTCAGATGAGCTCAGTACCTCAGTGAGTTAAATATTAAAATTCTGTATAAAGCAGAAATCAAGAACTCAGCAGATAATTCATTCAGAAGATTAGATTATAAACTGAAATCAGAGAAACTCACAGAACTATATAATAAATTTCATCAATTTATCAATTACTTATCTCAATGCAGTATAATAAATCAGTACTATGAATAAGTAATAACACTACTTTACAATCATAGAATGACAGCTATTATAACAGTTAATATAATAAACACAGATATTCTACAGCAAATTAAAGATTATATGTCATAAGAACTTGAAACTCTCATTCTGAAATATGAATATGATTATCTGAAGAATTAAGTGATTCAGAACAGATATCTCTTCTATCAAGATAGAATCTATATCTCAGACTTATAAAATTAACAAATCTGTATTAACATTCTTTAATAATTTCATGACTTCTCAACTGTACAATACTTTGAAGAGAAACAGATATATTACTTAATAGTGTAATAATTCTACTGACTCACAATGAGAAGAGATATTAATGAATATACATAAATATATTATTATTATTATTATTCTTTCATTATACTTATATGCAAGCGGAGCTTATGATGAGTCCTTGCGTGATGTTAAATACAGGCCAAGTGTTGATTATACAGGAGGAAATACAGGTGTTGAGACCATGCCAAGATAACAAGAACATAGGAAATACAAAGGAGTGACAATTAAATACATGCGATAATAACTTCCCAGCCCAGGAACATAGAGCAATTTTATTGGAGCGATTTGTACACCTCTGTATTTATTAGGAACCTGAGGTGCTTGGGTTCCGGATTTAATGTATCCCCTGCGGGTTTCGAACCCACACGCCCTGGTTTCCCACGCCAAGGCGCTACCGGGTGGCCGCATTAACCATTCGGCCACCGGGGCTATACATAAATATACAAAACATGCATCAGAGCAAAGCCTATCATCTATAGAGTTTTCAGAGAACTCATCTCTATCTCAATATCAGATTGAAACTGATACACAATCACAGTTGATTTTATTATAAATCTACTCAAATTCAAGTGTTCTGTCAATGAATAATTAGTAGATGTAATAGCAGTTTTCTATTACGAGAGATTCAAGAGATCTTACTATATCTCAATAATAATAAATCTGATATCAGATGTCTTCACTCACTTATTTCTTATAAACATTATCAGACTTCATAGCATGCTGGTAATAATCATTTCTAATAGAGATTATCTCTTCATCTCAGGATTTTGAAGAGCTCTGACAGTTAGTATGAATATTAACTATAGACTATTCACAGTATATCATCTACAGACAGATGAACAGACTGAAAGATAAAACTATAAACTGAAGATTTATATCAGACTCTACACAGATTATCTACAGAATAACTGAGCAGATCTATTATCATGAGCTGAATATATATATAATATCTCAGTATATTTCACACTAGAAATCTCTCTCTTTATAATGAATCTCAGCAATCAACCTCTATCATCAACTATGTCAAATGTTTCAATAGAAGTGATGAAAGAACTGCATGCAGAACAAGCAGTGATACTAGTA